CGCAGTACAGCAAAGTTTACGAACGGAAAGATTTTTTAAGTACGTTTACAGAAAGATGTTCTGCGAACAGCAACAGTGGTAGTGCTGGTATGTAGCTCAGATCCGCAGGTTGGTGTGATGTTTGGGAAAAGACAGGCGTTTTCTGCAGCACAAAAGACTGGGCTAGGCTCTTCCTAGTCACCCACTCATTCCTTCCGTGGCCTGGCTGCGTGAAGTCACCACAGTCCTCTGGACCACGTATATATTTTCTCATGTGTAAAACTGCAGAGGTGCTGTGGAAACCCAGTGGGAAAGGAGGCTTGGAAGACCTTTGGAGCACCCTTAAATAGTTTTTGTGGAAGGACAGTGTAGGACATGCCTAAAAATTATGATAATTCCTAAATTCCCTTTCTCCTCCTTGGAACATGGTAAGATTTCCACTTTCCTTTGCAGTTAGACTTGGTCGTTCGTGTTTTTGTTTTCCAATGAACAATCTGCGAAAGCGATGTGTATTAACTTCAGCTTACAGTTTACCCTCCCCTGAGTGAGCCCCTCCTCCTCCCTCTGGGTCTTAGGTTCATCTCCTGCCCCGAGTTAAGGCCAGGGAAGCAGTCACCACGTTCCATTCCTCCTGCCATTCTATGCTTGGGAATGTGCTGGTTGAAGTTAAGTTTGCACTCAGCCTGAGGTCCAGACTTTCTGCAGCAAACACAACATCTTTCTTGATGATGTATCATTTAAAGTACACGTTTATTGTGTCAAACCACTGAGTTTTGGGGTTGCTTGTTTGCAGCATAATCTATTCTATCTTGACTAATACACAGGAAGAGTCTTTTATTTATATTTATCTTATTATGACCTATTTTTGTATATGAAAAGTATTCATAATAATATAAACAACTCCCCATACTCACTAATAAACTTAGAATATACAGCATTTCCGAAGCAATCTAAACTCTGTGTACCTCCACCCATTCTCCCTCCTTCACCTGAAGTTGAGTTTGCGTTTTCTGTTTCTCTTTCCCATGTATGTCTTTGTTTTTTTTCCCCCCTTTTTAAATTGCATTTGTTGCGGTGACATTGGTTAATAAAATTATATAGTTTTCAGGTGTACAATTCGATAATACATCATCTGTATATTGTATTGTGTGTTCACCACCCCAAGTCAAATGTCCCCCCTGCCTTGCATGTCTTTATTTTGCTACATATATGAAATGAAATGACATTGGTCACAGTCTCCAGTGCTTTCATGGGCCCTGGGAGTTCTGCCTTTGTGGGCCTCTTATTTCCAAAAGATATATTTAAAGTAATATTTTATGGCTGAGTTGGTATAATGATGAACCTAAGCTAGGCTGGATTACATTCTTTTTTTTTCCTTCTAAATTCAAAATTACATTTTTTTTTGAGGACCCCTAAAAATGTAATTGGCCCTGTATGTATCTGATGTAGGCATTGCAAAATTTTTTGGAGCACTTGCTCATCTTAACTGCTCTGAGCTGACCCATCACCCAGGGAAGGACTTGTGCAAGTGAGGAGCCTCAGAAGCTTAAGCTTCATTAGCTTCATGGGCCTCAGTTGAATTTAAAAGCTAATAGGAAGTTCTCCTTCGAAATCTAGTCTCAATCTACGCAACATTCTTTTAGTGGTGCTAAAAGTGTCCATGCCCGCCTCTAAGTTTCAGTCTTCTAATTGTGTTTTCCCTACCTTCTCGTCCCAGGTGCTCAGAAGGGTGAGATATTTCCATATATATATTGGTCTTTGTCGCCACCATGAGGTCTAGGAGAGTTCCTTGTTGCAGCATGTATCCAATGAAAATACGATTTGTCGCCTCTAAAGGGAAGGAAGGCAGGGACGACCTCGACCTCATTCGCTTCCCCTTGTAGCCCCAGAAGCTGGCATATGGGAGACGCTTAACAAGTATCTGTTAAGTTTAGAATGACTGAGATTCTGGTCAGAGGAACTAGACGCTCTTGGAACCGTTCCTTCGAGAGTGTGCTTCCGGCCGAACGGCTTTCACATGAACACCTTCCGTTTTCTTGTGGATCAGAACCCCATGGCCCAAAAGGTCCCGTTCCAGCGCCTCCCGCATCCCTGAGCGCAGTCTGGGTGGCCGCTCCGTATTCCGCAAGGACGGAAGGGGTCATGCCCGGGACAGGGGTTGCAGAGCGTGAGGTGGAGGGTCTCCCGGAGAGTTTGGGGCAATGCTCCCGTGGACATCCTGGGGGTTGGGATAGACAGGAGCCAACTGACCCGGGGCGGGGGGCGGGGACCATGGGGAGGACCGAGGATGTTCGCATCGGAGGAGCCCTTGGGAACGTAGAAAGGGCTAAATGAGGGAGGCCTTGGTGGGTCGTGAAGACGCGCAGTGGGAGGCGGGAGGTGTTAGAGTGAGACGAATACAGGCTTTCTGAGATGACTGACTTCTGGCGGAATGAAGACACTTAATTGGTGTCACAGGACGAGCCTGAAAGGAAGAGATCTCAGTGTTGGGTTGATGAAGACACTCGGGTACTCTGGGGAGACCTTAGAAGAGAGGAGGGGTTACCCTGATGGATGGAATAGAGATGCAGGGAAGAGAAAACGCGCTAGGGGTTTGAAAGAGGAGGTGGGCGGCAATATAGTAAAGAAATTACGGGTCACACAGATGCTGGGGCCGGGTAAGAAGACCCTCAGCACACCCCGTAAGAATTGAATGATAGATGCAAGATGCCTGCGCAAATCCTGGGAGCACGGGGCTGTAGTGAATTAGAAAGTCTAGAGTTTGGGCACAGGCAGGGCCGGGGAAGATCCCTCAGTTGCCTGGAGAGATGAGGAGTTTAAGGAGTAGAGGATTGAGGATGACAAGACGCGGGAATGCAGGCAGGTCCTGTGGTCCCCTCAACCCTTAGCTTCCCTCTTCCTTCGGTCAATGCAAATTTCCTTCCCTTCATTACTGCTCTGGTTTCAAGGATAACGATGAGTTCATCCTCAAGAACTGCGGGTTTTCCTACCCCCAGCAACTACCCTCTCCTGAGTTAGCCCCTCCTCTTCCCTCTGGGCCTTAGGCTCATCTCCTGCCCCGAGTCAGGGCCAGGACCTGCTCACTGAGCTCAAGAGCGTATGGTCCAGGTGCACACACTGTTGGGAGTGGAGAGGACAACCAGGACGCCAGTGGCGCTGGCCCCACCGGCTTATGGCTGCCCTGAGTGCCTGCAGGTCTTCCAGAGTGCATTCCGTCTCAAGGCCCTTGGCCTCTCTCACGCAGACATCCGGTGCTCCGTCTGTGAGCTTTGTGACAAGGCCTTCAAGCAGCCCAGCAGTGTTGGCCAGCACTGGCTCACTCACGGGCTTCCTATAGCTGGTCCTCTGCCCTGGTGGTTTGGGGTCATGGGGGAGCTGGCTTAGCACGTCCTGGTGCTCAGGGGAGATTGTGTCTGTTACTGAGGTGGGCACAAAGCTGACAGCTTTAGCAAGCAATCTGGGAATTTTCCCCAGGTCTCCCACATCCCGCTAGGGAAACGTCAGTTGCAGAACTAGGCTCTGGTTCTCTCATGGACAAGGCCGCACTCGTTTCTGGGCTGTTCTACCCAGGACAGAGTGGTCTCCAACTGTAGAGAGTGCTGGAAGTCTACAGGTGGCAGGTCTCACTTCCCAGGGTGGTCACCTGTCTCCTTGTCCCCTTCAGTCTCTCCCAAGAGGCAAGGGCCCGAGGTTCTAACTCGGCACTGGGCGAACTTTGTACCTGTTCACTGTCTCGCCTCAGTAACCCGTCTGTGAAGCAGGAATGGATTGTCTCCTCCTTGTCAGCAGCCCAATGGCAGTGCGGCTGGCCAAGCTACGAAGACGTCTACTTTCGTGCCTGTTCTTTGTTTCTCCCCTGTCAAAAGGTCACCCCTTTTGTCTTCACTATGCCCCCAAGTTCAAGCGGTCACATACGTATTGACGGCCATGGGGTGCTCTACACATATCCTGTGGCCGGAGAGGTAGCTCAGGATGGCGCAAAAGCAGGCGGGCCAGCCTGCACCAGGCCGCCTGACAAATCTGCAAGAGCTTCACGCAGTCAGCATTGCATCTCACGCTCGGAACTCTGGGCCTAAGTGTGTGGCCCCTGTGGAAAGCCGATAAGGTGCTCCAGCAACCCTGCCACCTCTGCCCACTCCTGATCTTCCCAGGAGTTGGCCCACTTACCCTGGTAAGTGGAAGCAGGGAAGGGCTTCCTGGCTGGCTGTGGAGGCCCAGGTCAGAGGTTCCGGTGCATCCTTGATCCAGTTATAATTCCCCTCTGGCATTCCAGCCCTGACGAGGAATTGGTGTCATATTCACTGGCCTTGACTAGCTGTGTGACCCAGGGCCAGTGACCACCCCTCTCTGGCCTTGTTGTATGAGAATGACACTTTACTCAGTTCTCTTGCCCAGTGATGCATTACGTCTCAAGGGCTGGGTTTCCTCAGTTGTCCCATGGACTTCATAATTCTAGCCCTAAGTTTTTGCTGTGTAGCAACAGACAACTCACTAGCCCTTTGTGGTTTCGGTTCCTATTTGAAGCTACCTTACTTTCTTTTGTAAAAAAGTCTTCCTTGTGTGTAGTCGTATTTATGGTAGAAAGATTGGCTCCTGGAGCCTGGAAGGATAAAAAGCCACTTTTCGGAGAAAAGTCAGCCCTTTTGATTTCCCTCCCTCTGCATCTATCACGCCTCCGAACAGTGATTTTACACACTGGTTTTGCTTTGGTTTTTCCCGTTGCAGCCCGGAACCACTATTTCTGGTGTTTGTTTCCCGCCTGGGTGGCTTTCTGGGGCCCCATTTGGACACAATGGCGGGGGAGTGGGAACCTGGCTGTGGGCTGTCCGGGTGCATCACCACCGCAGGCCGCCCCTTGAGTTGGTCCCTCGCGTTCGTACACGAGAGGCCACCACACAGCAAACGGCTGCCGGGAGGTCAGGGCGAAGAGCGGGCTCCGAGCAACGCCGGGAGGGAGGTGCTTGGACCATAGAGACGCGGGGTAGAGGGGCCAGTGCCGTAGAGACATTTTGAGGCGGGTAGAGAGACCCTAAGCGGTGGGTCCGGGTCGCCCAGTTTGACAAGTGGGGCGCACGTGTCTCGGGATGCGGGGTGAAGAAGCCCTGAGCTGGTGAGTTTGGGGAAGAGCTCGGGGTCCCAGAGTTGACCTTGCCCCTGATACTTTTGGAGGCCCTGGACCGCCCCCCCGCCCGCCCTCCTTGGGGCGCTTGCCCCTGAACTGGCTCCCCCCTCTTCCTCCACCTCTGCCTACCGACCTTACTGGTGTTTCCTGTCTGTGTACATGGAGAAGGCACCCCTGGCCGGAGCCCGGGCTCCCCAAAACCCTCACTTGTCTTCAGTATCTGCAGGACTTCGAGAGTGGCCTGGCCCCGGGGACCCCTTGCGTCTCCCACTCAGAGCTAGCTCCTGCTCACCGACGGCGGCCAGGCCTCGGAGCGCCCCAGCCGTCTGCAGGCATCCCTTCCTACACCAGCCCGGCTGGGTCGAGCTCACGCCTGCCCGCTGTGTCCTGGCGTTTGCAGGAGGCACGGAGCTCGCCTGGCACGTCCCGGACCACTAGGCCGGAAGGAATTTCTTGGGCGTTGGAGAGGCCCCGGGGGCTCCACAGAATCTTGTTTCTTGCACCAAGAGTAGAGGCCGGCCCCTCACTGCTTATTGTCTCTTACAAGGGCCTCCCTCTTCTGGGCCTCAGGTTCCTCATTCGGGAAAGAGGGGATGTCTTGTGGTCCCCAGCTACTTTGGCCTGGGTGAAGGGCAGGAGAGGCCCCTTTGACTGCCGCAGTCTCTGTTTATAGCCTGGGATCAGTCACTGTCCCGCCACTGTGGCACACAATTTCCCAGCCTGTCAAGGGGGGTGGAGCTTCCATTCCCATGCACAGAATGAACGGAGACATAGGTATTACAGGTGAGCTACTAATGTCTGGCTCTATTGCTCCATCACGTTGTAGCAGCTCATGGTGCCTGCTGAGATGGACTCAAATAAATGATCGTCAGTTTTGATTCTTTTTAAATTGCTGGGGTAGGGCTGGAACCCAGACGACGTAGGACCCTCTGTTTTGTGGGTGTGTTATTGTCCAAAGGGCTTTCCTAGGGGCACCTTCCTTTGCTTGGGAGGTTGGAGCCAGCTGGAATCTCATCCCTGCAACCACTCCCGGACCCGAAAGTTGGCAGCACCCAGGTCTGGAGGTGGAGCCAGGGCTCAGGGGAGTGGGTAGGTGTAGCACAGGCGGCATTTTTAGAGTCTCGCCTCGCTGAGCAGAGAGGACTGGGCGTGATGTGAGGGACTTGGGGTGTGGGATGTAGTGGCTCCAGGGGCAGCGGGCCTTGGAGACCGAGAAGTCCAGTGAAGGAGGGCTGAGGAGACCCGGGCTGGGTACAGAGAGGAGGGCAGGCAGCCTGGCAAGTGGATTACTTGGGCCCACATTGACCCGGAGGCGCAGGGATTGTTGGAACATGAGACAGTGTGCGCTGAACGGTGGACGTGGAGTAGAGGGCGGTCCAGGGAAGGCTCCTGAAGGAGGCAGGGCTCAGACTGCAGGCTGGGGAGGGTTGGGCAGCCAGAGGGGAGTGAGGGAGCTGGGGCGGGGGCAGCGGGCCTGAGTACAGTCCCTGCCGAGCCTCTTGCACCCCGAGGCTCAGTGTAGTGCCCGCCTTACTGGAGTCGAACGTGCTGTCTGAACTGAAGTTTGGGGGACTTGAGTAACCAGCCAGTCAGTCTCAGGTGACTCTGGAAAGAGACTGCTGAAGGGCACGGTGCTTATCTGACAGTGAAGGAGGCCCCGGTGGGAGTCCTGACAGTGTGAACAGAGGCACAGTGTTCCAAAGGGTGAGCCGAGACGTCAGAGTGGCTCCCTGTGGCTGAGTGCTCGGGTGGCTGAGGCGAGGGGCAGGGAAGGCGGCCGGGGCCGATGAGGCAAGGTCTCGGATGCCAGGCCCAGGGGTTCTACCTGTAGGCAGAGCTGTGGTGGGATCCTAAGCAAGAGGGGGTGTTCGATCCCTCTGGAACTGCTGGATTGGTGAGTGTGGCACAGAGGAGATGCCTAGCCAGCTTGGGAGTCAGGGCACACAGGCCGCCGGAAGGCTGAGGAGGAGTCTGCCCACAGAGCCAGGGGAAGAGATCCCAGGCAGGGGAGTCACACGGGCCTTTGCACCTAGAGCCCGAGTTCAAGGTCTAGTCCAGACTGTGAGATGCCGGCTGTCGGCGGCACACAGGAGCGAGACGTAAGGGAAAGAGGCTGGGCTGCCGCATCTCAGGCGAGGCAGCCTGGGGACTTGGTCCTGAGGGTGCCAGGGGCCATAACAAGGTTTCGGATGGTGCAGAAGTTCCATCTGACACAGGCTGCGAGAAAGTGTCGGGCCGGCGTGGGAGGGGAGCTGGAGGCCAGAGACCTGGGAGAGGCGGGGACAGGGGCCCAGGCCCAAGGGGAAGGGGCCAGAGCTGGGGCTTGGTAATGAAGGGGAGCATGGAGCTCCGAACATTTCAGCACGAGGGAGTGGACAGGACCTGGTGCCCGCTTGGCCTTGGGGAGGAGGGAGTGTGCGTGGGGTGTGAGGACGTTTGATGTTCCAGACTTGCAGGGATGGTGGGGCCTCCTCATGATCATGTCCCAGGAAGGAAGGTTATTTTTTTTTTGGCGGGGAGAGGAGAGAATGCTACATTTCTGGAGAGAGCGGTTGCGTTCATTCATTGACTCACTCCCTCATTCCTTCATCATGCAGCCAATACTGCATTGAGCCCCTACCCTCTCCCAAGACCTTTGTCAGATCCTGAGGATACAGTGTTGACGGGACAGAGCCGGGCCCTGCCTTCGTGGAGAGCTGGGGACACGGACAAGAAGACAGCAGATCCCTAAATGAGCAAGACAACCATGGACGGCGACACAGGATGCGGAGGAAACCAACTGACGTGACAGAGCATCGCCTGCCAGACCTCTAACACCATCCGCGAAGCTTGAGTGATGAAGTGGCATTTGAGCTGAGAATGAGTGGCCAGAAAGGATCTGTCCTTGGGAAGGGAGCCGCAGACATGAAGGCCCTGGAGGCGGGAGAGGTTTCGGGGGCAGCAAGGTGGTGACAGGGGCCGGCCCACACCGGGCCTCAGGGCTCCCGGGCTTTACTCTAAGTGCAGGGAGGAGGGTTTTAAATCAGATAATGACAGTTTTAAAAAAAACGCTGCAGTATTGCCATAGAGAAAGAGGTGGGAGGAGTCTGAGGGGGGTGGCTGTCACTGTAAATCACGGTTTGCAGTTGGGTGGTGGCAGCTATGGTTGGGAGAAGGGTGAGGAGCTTGGAGATAGCGGTCACGTGATCTCTCCAAGCCGCGCCCTCATCTGTAAGCACCTACCTCCTGGATCTGCTCTGAGGACGTGCTGCATTTAGCAATAGTGAGGGCTCAGTAAGTTAGTCATTGTCATTATTTCTGGGGATGAGGTGGGTGTATGGGTCTGAAGCTCAAGAAAGGGACCTGAGCGGGAGACTAAGATTGGGTGGTTGTCTACATTTGTAGACCAGGAGCGAAGTGAACCCCTGGGGCACACTTGGCACTCTCTGTTGTCACGACAGGACGGGGAGTCGGGAGGGGGCTACTCGTGTCTGGAGCGTACATGCCAGGGATGCTGCTCAACAGCCTACGATGCACGTGACAGCCCCCACCACAAAGAGTGTCAGTGCTGCCAAAGTGGCGAAGCCCTGGTGTGGACAGAAGATGTCGTTGTCCCTTTAAACCAGGCATGCCCCCTCAGTCTCCACTGTCCCCACCTCTACAAGGATGCTGTCCCGTAGAAACAGAAGGTGAGCCACACTAAAACCCGTGGAAAGGACCACGTGACATTGATTTTGATAACATTCTTTACTTAATCCAACCTGCCCAAAGTCCTGTTGTTGTAATAGTAAGTCAATATAAAAGTTATTCATGAGATTAGTTACACTCTTCTCTTACTACAAAGTTTTGGGAATCTGTTGGATGCCTTTTATGGCCCTCGGAGGTGAATTGCTGCAGTCCCAAAAGGTAGGCAGTCAAGAGCCACGTGAGGCTTTTTAGATTTAAATTAAGATAAATTTAAAATACTGATTCTCAGCCTCACTAGCCACTATCGAGTGTAAAAAAAAAAAAAAGTCACATGGCTAGTGGCTATCCCATTGGACAGCGTGCAGGTCACAGACTATTTCCATCATCGTGGACAGCTCTCCAGGACGCAGCTCTGGCTGCCCTTTGAGGACCGGAACTGCACCCGACAATAAGGCTTCTTCTCCCTCAGCGCTCCCAGCTGCCCCTCTCCCCAAATACTGCGGCGCCGTCCCTCCCCGGCATGGTGGTCCCCAAAGGCCAGGCCGCTGTCTGCAGCGCGCTCCCGCCTCTGCCAACCGGCTCATGAACGTGCGTTTCAAGTTCACCCGCTGGCGAGGGGCTCCACACAGACTAATCTAGGCACTATATGGACCAGCCCAAACTCCATAACCTGGGGGCCCATATGGGCCAGGGGGGCCTCCTCTTGACTGATGCATTTCATGAGCTCAGCAGGAAGGGCCCTGCATTCACCTCCACTGCTCCCAGGGACTGTGGAGAAACTGGCTGAGGGACTGCCCAGCCTCCCACCTGTTTATTTAACTTATTTCAGTGCTTTATAATAAAGGAAACACTAACAAAAGAAACAAAAAAAAAGGACCAACTGCGGATGCCCCAAGTGCGGTCCTCGCGTGCACCTACAGCGCCACCAAGATCGCACTCCACACTCAAGCCCTTCGCGGGCGCCTCTTCTCTGTCTTTCTCCCTCTACCCACTGCGCTTTGGCCGGTGCCAGCAAGACAGGGCAGCTGCTGCTACTTGGGCCTCAAGCTTCCCTGCCTAGTAGGAAGTGTCACACGTCCCCCTCCTCTCTATCCGACTACGTCTCACCTTATGTGGGCCTCGGTTTCCCTACGTGCCAGGCGGGGGAATCCTGGCTGTGTCACATCAGAACTCATGGCCGGCCTCTGGATCTCGGTCTCGTCACTTGCTCCACCGGCAGACACGTCCCTTCCGCCCTGGGCACTGTGGGCCAGAGGACGCAGGCGGGACCACCAGTGGAAACAATCTGGGTGCTCCCATTTCTTGGGGGACCTCGAGCAGACTTACGGCGCCTAGCCTGTTTATAAACCGATCACTGTCACAGCAACGGAACAGCTCCCGTCGGTCTGAAAGGGGCGCAGGGGGCGGGCTACTGTGGTTCCCGCGCACTCATCTTCCCTGCCCCTCACTCCTACCCTGGGTACTCAATAAAAGCGGGTGGTGGGAGCGGCCGGTCCAGGAGCGGCGGAACCTTTGTAGCAGCGCGCGCGTTTCCGGCCGGCGCCTTTTCCCAGGGACGCCGCCGTCCTTCGCGCCCCCGCGCCCGCACCCCCTGCGCTCGCGTCCCCGGCTCCGCCGGCCCGGAGCTCCCGGAAGTCCCGCTCCTGCCACTGCCGGCACTAGCGAGGGGAAGCCCTGGCCGCCCGGGACCTCGGCCCGCTCCTCCGGACCCGAGAGGCCGCCGCACCGGGTACGGGGTCGGGACAGAGGAAGGAGGCTGGCTTCAGGACGGCGCGAGGCTGGGCAGAGCGGGGGAGGGGCTGGAGCTCCCGGGTGGGGGTGGGGCGGGGAGGGGGCGCGGGGTAAGGAGACCCCAGGGTGCAGTGAGGAAGGGGATGGAAGGCCTTGTTGAGTATAGTGGGGCGTGGAGCGGAGAAATAAAGATGTCAGCTTCACACAGAAGAGAGGGCCAAGGGGGCTTGGGAAAGGTAGTTTGGGGAAGGGACTCCGGAGGCCCTAGTGTGTGGGACCGGGAGGGGGAGGGGAAAAAGTGAAGATGGCAGTGGCTAATGTGTGAGGCACCCTTAAGTGGGGGATGGGAGATTCAGGAGCCGCAGGATATTTAGAAAGCAGGCAGCGGAGGGTCCTGGGGACGCAGACAAAATGCAGACGGCGGATGGGGAGGGGGCGAGGATGTGGCGACCATGAGGTGCTAAGGGTAGGAACAGGCTAGAGGAGCCGGAGTGAAAAGTGGGGAATTGGGTTAGTGGGGCTCTGGGGATGTACCTGGAAAGGAAATTGGGAGGACAGGATGTCCCTGTGAATGGGGAGGACTTAGGGCGCACCTGGTTGGGGTAAAGATCCAGGAGGGCCTGGGAAGCAGAGAAAGGGACGTTGCTTGTTCCCCGGGGGGTCAGTGGGGGGCGGGATGCAACCTGAGCTGGGGCTGGGAAGCAGAGGAAGCAAGCGACCCTTTACAAAAATTCCGAAGGGTCTGGGGCCCGAGATAAAAGGCAAAAAAAGATGTAAAGATAGGGAAATAGACGTGGACATTGATTGGCTGTGGTGGGGAAGTGGCGGGATGATGCCTTCTGGTGGGGTCTGGGGCTGAGAGGAGGACCCAGCAAGAAAGGCAGGTTGGAGCCCCGGTATACTCTTAAGTTGGAGGCGTCCCAAAGCGTCTTGTAATCTGAGCGATCTGGCCTGGAGTCAGAGGTTCTTTTTTTGTAGGGACATAGGTCGGTGGTGGAGAGGAGTAGCATTGAGAAGGGCACACTTTCCCCAGAAGCGGCGATGTTAACTTCTCTCCCTTCCCGCCTCTCCCAGTTGCCGCTCCAGATGCTGCTGCTGCCCCCGCGGCCACCCCACCCTCGGTCCTCCTCTCCGGAGCCCATGGACCCACCGTCCCCTAAGGCTCCCCCTTTCCCCAAGACGGAAGGGCCTTCCTCCACTCCTTCCTCGGTGGCCGGGCCGCGACCCCCACTGCTGGACCGACACCTGCTCATCGACGCCAACGGGGTCCCCTACACGTACACGGTGCCGCCGCCGGAAGAGGAGCCCCGGCCCCCGCCCCAGCGAGAGGCACCCCCACCGGAGCCCAGCCCTCGAAAGGGCTACAGTTGCCCGGAGTGCGCCCGTGTCTTTGCCAGCCCTCTGCGGCTGCAGAGCCACCGCGTGTCGCACTCGGACCTCAAGCCCTTCACGTGCGGTGCCTGTGGCAAGGCCTTCAAGCGCTCCAGCCACCTGTCCCGGCACCGCGCCACGCACCGTGCTCGCGCAGGCCCACCGCACACCTGCCCACTCTGCCCGCGCCGCTTTCAGGACGCGGCGGAGCTGGCGCAGCACATGCGCCTCCACTAAGTTCAGACCCGGCCCTGGGCCTCGACGTCGGGCCCACACAGCGGCACAACCACACACACTCCCCGGCTCTGCTGAGGCTACTGCCTTACCCCAGGCCTCAGTTTCCCTATCTATCCAAAGGGAGAAATGTCATTCCTTCATTCATTCCCTCCCTTTCTCCCTAGTGGTGTGATGTAGATCAAGTCGTTGACCTTTCCTGGGCCTGGGAACCAGTCGCAACTGGGTTCCAGCCCAGCTGTGCTGTGTGAGCCTTTGCAAGTGACTTAACCTCTCTGAGCCCTGGCTTTCTGCTCTGAAGTGGTGAAAGGTGGTCCGTGTGGGAGATTTGACAAATAAGCACGGGCACGACTCCTTTCTCTATCTTCCCCTTACACCCACGCCCCTCACCTTTTGTTCAATAAACATTCCACACTTCACTTCGGGGCTTTATTTTTTTGCGCGTGGGGTGGGAGGCAGCGGGGTTGAAGGTGGGGCGTGGGCCATAAGCACCTGGGAACCTTTATGTCGGTGTGTGTTTCTGGCCGGAGCCGTTTCGCCGAAGGCCCAAGCTCCCCGCTTCTTTTCCTCCCTTGTACACGCTTGTCTGTCCCTGGGCCTGTACCTCCCTTACCGGCGCCGCAGGCTCTTGGGGGACCAGCGGAGGCCCTCTCCCCGTCGCCGCTGGCCACCACGGGGTAGTCTGGGGCCGGTCCGGAGTCGCCCGGACCTGAGAGGCTGCCGCACCGGGTACGGGGGCCGGGAGGCAGCGGAGGGGCGGGGTCGAGCCAGCCGGGACCTGCGCGCGGGGCGGGGCGGGGCGGAGCGGGGAGGGCTGCTCCGCGGGCTCCGGGTGGGCGCTGCCCACAACTCGCGAAGAGGCCGGAGGCCAGGCGCGGGTGCACCTCGGGAGAGCTAGGACCTAGAAAGATCTGGGGTGGATGGGCGTGCACTGGAGACCCTGGAGGTAGCCGGCCAGGGGCGGGCAGAAGTGTGCAGGGAGGTATCGCGGGGTGGGACGGGGCCCCAAGGTGGCAGCTCGTATGAGGCTGGGATGTGTAGAGAGGGGTAGACAGTCTTGTGGGTGGAGTGTGTAGGGTGAGGGGGCAGTAGAGAAGGGACAGAGAGGCCTGGCAGTATTTTGGATGGGGTAGCCGGAGCAGAGGGACAAGCAGTGGCCTGGGGAGGGCACAGAAGGAGAGACGGCGAGGTCCCGGTTGTGCCTACAGTGGGTGGCGGAACCGAGGACAGAAGGGGTGTCTCAGGGAGGGAGGCTGTAGGAGCCTTACAGAGGATTGCAGAGTCCAGGGCTCAAGGACTGGAGGAGAGGTGGAGGATGCAGACGTTCTGGGCAGGCCTACAGAGGGGGGTGAGTGCAGCCGTGGGCCCAAGCTTCCCTCCTCTGTGTGACCTGCCCCTCTTTCCCACCCACCAGGCCTCAGCCACCATCCGGATGCTGGTGCTGTCTGCCCCCTGTCCCCAGTCCCCAACGCTGCCCTCCGCTGAGGCCATGGAGGACCCTCCGCCTCGGACAGGCGGGTCCCCAGAACCTGGACCTTCCTCCTCCACAGGATCTCCCCAGGCCTCGTCTCCTCCGAGGCCCAACCACTACCTGCTCATTGACACCCAGGGCATCCCGTACACCGTGCTGGTGGACGAGGAGGTTCAGAGGCAGCCTGGGACTAATGGGGCTTCGGCTCAGAAAAAGTACTACAGCTGCCCAGTGTGTTCCCGGGTCTTTGAGTACATGTCTTACCTGCAGCGACACAGTATCACCCACTCGGAGGTGAAGCCCTTCGAGTGCGACACCTGCGGGAAGGCATTCAAGCGGGCCAGCCATTTGGCACGGCACCACTCCATTCACCGGGCTGGCGGCGGGCGGCCCCATGGCTGCCCGCTCTGCCCTCGCCGATTCCGAGAGGCGGGTGAGCTGGCCCAGCACAGCCGGGTTCACTCCGGGGAGCGCCCGTTTCAGTGCCCGCACTGCCCACGCCGATTTATGGAGCAGAACACGCTGCAGAAGCACACCCGATGGAAGCATCCATGAGCTGGCTGCGGGGGCGGGGGGGACCCCTGGTACCATGGACCTAGGGGACCCTGGACTCCCGCCGTCCTCAGACAGCCAGAGAGCATCTGAGGATGAGGCTGGGTTGCAGGGCCCCGGACACAAACAGACCCACCTGCTCTGGGAGCTGAGCCCTGCGGAAGGAGGAGCCCAGGAGTAATCTTCAGGTGCCTGTGTTTTGGAGGCCAGATGGGAACAAGACCTCACATTCACAAAGTGGAGTCCTCTAGCCTCAGCGATATCAGAATTATTCCAGGTTGAGCCCTGACTGGGGGGTATGGGGGAGACTGCTGGGTGTGGAAGTTCTCTGGCCCAAAAATATGGTTGGGTGCCATCAGGAACCTGCATCGTCTTCCCAGGGCCTCCATGCCGGTGTCGGGGGGCAGGGGCTCCAGACCTGCCTCTCAGTTCCAGCCAGGGCCTGAGCGCAGACAGCCAATAAACCCGTTTTCCTCTTCCAGCACTTGAGGCATCTTTTCGAGAACAGTGGCTTGGCTCACCTGCTGGCTGCCTAGCAGGGAGACTTGGTAAGTGCCTGGCCTGGTGGGCCTTAGCTTGCCTGGCTAGGGACAGGGCTAGCTAGTCCTCCCTTGGTTCCTCAGGACCTGTGTCTTCTAGGCAGTGTGTTTTTAAACTTTTTTAAAGCCACGCTTCGTTGTAAGAAACACATTTTATATGGCAACCCAGTGTATGGATATACCAAATATATGTGAAATAACAAGTCACCTTTTCCCTGTGCCGGTCACTCTGATATATTTTTTTGATCTATGATTTTTTTATATTGCCGATTCCATCCTGTCACACTGAACTCTCCGCCCATGAACCTGTAGTATGAAAAACAACTATCTAGGGCAGGTGCCTCCCCTCGGACGTTTTGACCTGTGCTGCCAGTCATGTGTCACGAGAGCGGGTCAGAGTGTGGTCCCAGCTCTCAGTACTGCAGACATCTAGGCCCCGACGCTGCGGGGTTCAAGCGGTGCCCGCATGAGCGCTGGCAAAAGTCCCAGGGCATGCAGCCTCCCGCTGCGAGGCCTCCAGAGACACGAAATGGAACTCTATGGCCAGGCGCTGGGCGTGGGTGTGTCACGTCATTGCACCCTCCCCACTTTACAGGCGAATAAACTGAGGCTGGGAAGAAGCAGCGGCCGGGACCGGGATCGTGGTCTGAATGTACCAAAGCCAGTCCTTAAACACGCTCGTGGGCTGGTGATGGGGTAGGCCCCTATTTTCAGGGAGGGGTAACTCACTCCCTCAAGATCCTGGGAACCGTGGATCTCAGGGGATCATTTAAGGGGACCCTCCCCGTGCTTTAACTTTCCTGGCCGTCCCCTACACGCCCCCCACCTCGCCTCCTTCCGGGCCCGACTTGGTGCGCAACCAGCCACTCGGGGGACCCCTGGAGCCACCGGCTCTCCAGGAATTGGGAATTTCAAGACGTTCCCTGCTCGGGCTTCGCGGGTGGGGGAGGGAGGGCGGGCTGCAAGGGGCCATCGCGCAAGTGCGGCCCCGGCCTCCGCCGCACATAGCGGGCCTCACCTGGGGCCGGGGCTACCGGAGGAAGCATGCTGACCCGAAGACCAGGGGAGCATCCCTGTCCGCCCCGCCGCCCCTTGACTCGCCGTCCCTGACGGCCCGCCCGCCGGTGGGTGGGCACTTCCCTCCGCTCCCCGCGACGCTTTGCAGACGCTCCCCTGCGCCGGGCATGGGCGCCGCCGCAGCGGTCGGTTCCCGGGTCGGATTCCGCTCGCGGGTGGGTGAGCGCGGGGCCCCGGCCCGTCCGACCTCGGGCACCTGCGAATGGCATGGGGGCGGCCTAACCTACACCCACGGCCTGGCGTACACCCCGCTAGGACCCGTCGCTACCTTCGCTCCCCCTCCCACCCGTAGGACAAAGGGCGGGGGCGGGGGGGCGCAACCCACGCGTGACCTTCCCCCGCAGTGCGCACGCGCCCAGCCTCCCACCGCGGGGAAGGGGTCATGCTCGCTCACGCGAGTGCGGGGGAGGCGTGTGGGTGCCCATGGGTGGGGGAGGCGCCGCGCGTGGGCTGGACCCCCACCCCAAGCCTGGAAGTTAGGGCAGGCTCCCCATACCCCTCTCGCATCCTTTTGGCGCCGAAGTGACTCATTCTGGCCGGGATACCACCGGGACCCGCTTCTTCGTCCCTGGGTATCTGTGCAGCAGGCCAGGAGTTTGGACCCCCAAAGTGTCCTCCCATCAGACCCAGAAGCCCTGTCTTCAGCACTCCCCCCCGCCCCCCGCCCCCCCAGTCCTGAGGAGTCTGTGCCCCACCTCTTGGGATGTCCTCCCATCTGTGGCTGCTCTTTCTGTCCAGTGCTTCTGAGGTGCTCAGCTGCTGGGGTCCGCGGGAGGCCGCGCCATGAGTGACCGAAACAGCCGGAGGAGGACACGTGAGGATGCTGGGACCCTGCCCCACCTTTGGTCCCACCGCTATTCTGCCGTCCCTGCCCTTTCCTCCCCAGGGTTGAGGCTGGTCCCAGGGACGAGAGGAGTTCCCTGGGTTGACCCCCTGCTTCATCTCATCTCTCTAGTGAAGAAGGACGATGAAGCCTTCGAGATTTCTATTCCCTTCGAGGAGACGCCCCACCTAGACCCACAGCTTTTTTACAGCCTGAGTCCCTCTCGGGGAAACTTCGACGGTGAGCTGGGGGCGGGGGGGCATGGAGGCTCTTGCGTCAGCTGGGGTGCAGAGCCCTTGAGGCCTGGGTGTGACCGGGGCCCTGGGCTGCCCTAGAGCCTCCGGAGGCTGCCTCCCCAACCGTGGCCCTGATGAATGGCGTCAGGGCCCAGCTGCACATGGCCCTGGAGAGGAACTCCTGGCTGCAGAAGCGCATCGAGGACCTGGAGGAGGAGAGGGACTTCTTGCGGTGTCAGCTAGACAAGTTCATCTCTTCTGCGCGCATGGATGCTGGTGAGGGTGCCCGGCGAGCCAGTCCCCTCCCTGACCCACTCCTGGGCCCCGGCACCCAGCTCCAGCCTTTCTCATCCGCACACTGGTGCTTTGGTGGCCCAGTGGGGGCCGGGCAGTCTTACCTTCTGCCTAGTCCCATGGCCTCTCCCGGAACCCAAGCCCAGCTTCCCTCCTGCCTCTGCTGCTCAGCAGGACCCTGTGCCCTGTTCCTTCCCCAGTGAGTCAGGGCTTTCCTTTGCCAAATCTTTCGCGGTGCTTTGGTGAACCCCACCTGCATGCTCCATCCCTTGGTGCTCAGCATCCCCCACCGCCCCATTCCCTTCCAAACCCCCACATTCCTCTGTGAATTCCACCAAAAAGTGGGCCAAGTGGCCCACTTTTTTCCCAGATGGGTATTTACTGGGGACCCCTGGGCCCTGGAACCACCTCCAGATGTCCCGAGTGCACTATTCTGGAGGTCCAACTAGGTCCGAAGGAAAAAAAACCCTCCTCCACTGTGGGAACCCCAGTTAGACTTTTTCAAGGTCCCCAGTTCAGTGTTGGACGCCCCCCCAGACCTTTTGCCACGAAGTTGAGGAGTCAGATGAGTGTCCTCACCAAGCCCCACCCACCACTTCTGTTCCAAAGTCCCAGCTGATTGGCCTGCATTCAGCCATCTAGGTAGGGACCTCAGCATCTCTACAGCATTTCTGGTCTCTCACGGGGACCTGTATGATATGACAGCTGTCCCCACTTTGCAGACAGACCTCTTTCCTCTTCCCTCATGTCCCCGCAGTTCATGTGTGTTTCTTTCTCCCCACCCCCTCCAGAGGACCACTGCCGGGTGAAGCCCGGGCCCCGGCGAGCTGAGGGCGACAGCCGGGGTGGGGCTGCAGGCGAGGCCTCGGACCCCGAGTCGGCTGCCTCCTCGCTCAGCGGGGTGTCTGAAGAAGGCAGTAACTTGGAGAGGAAGAGGCAGAAGCAGAAGGGAGGCGCTGGCCGCAGGCGCTTCGGGAAGCCCAAGGCCCGGGAGAGGCAGCGGGGTGAGGGGAAGGTGCAATGAAAGGGGTCCGGGTGGGTACTTGCTGTGTCACCTGCCCTCACCATCTGTAACTGATCAGACCTCCTGGTGGCTCCCAGCCTCCAAGTCTGGTCTCGGTTTAGTTTTTACATTTTGGTCCGCCCTCCCCAAGCTGCCTGCGCCTCAGTAACAAAGGGCGATGGCTCGGGCCTGCTGGGAACTCTGCCCTCTGACCTGTTGTAGTTCCTTTTCCCTCCTCATCCTCTCCTGCGGCCTTCCTCCGATTTTCCCGCTCCAAGTTCAGTCTCTAATTCTTCCAGCTGCACTCTTTTCATCTGCTTTTCCTTTCCCATTTTATTGGCCGTCCCTGTGCTGGGCTTCTCGCGCGTATCTTCCCCCTCCGTTCCTTCGCTCTGGTGGGCCCTTGCCTACCGTCTGTCTCTTGTCCCCATGTCTGCATCCCGTTTGTCCCACTTATGCCCCATGCCTCTCTGCTGCCCGCTTCATGATTGTCTCTCTATTCTCCCCTCCCCCACTTGGCCCTGCAGTGAAGGACGCAGACGGTGTCCTCTGCCGCTACAAGAAAATCCTGGGCACCTTCCAAAAGCTGAAGAGCATGTCGAGGGCCTTCGAGCACCACCGCGTGGACCGCAACACGGTGGCGCTGACCACGCCCATAGCGGAGCTGCTCATCGTCGCCCCGGAGAAGCTGGCGGAGGTGGGCGAGTTTGACCCCTCCAAGGAGCGTCTGCTCGAGTACTCCCGCCGCTGTTTCCTGGCCCTGGACGACGAGACCCTCAAGAAGGTGCAGGCCCTCAAGAAGAGCAAGCTGCTGCTTCCCATCACCTACCGCTTCAAGCGGTGATCCTGCCCTACCTGGCCCGGAACAGGCCCTCTGGCCCCCTGCTCCACTCCCCTCCCTTCCTCTGCCCCGCCTGGCAGGCGGCGAGCGTGTGCACGAGTGGGGTGCTCCTCGCCAGGGCCTGGGGGTGGGCGGCGTGCTTCTGGGCGTGCCTCTCTTCTCCCCATCCTGCAGACGCCCGCTCCCGCCCCAAGGTGCCGTGTATATACAATAGTTCTGCCCTCCTTCCTTCCCACTTTCCCAGCACTTTCCCCATTCCCACGGTTGGGAGGGTCTCACTTAACCAGGCTCCCAGGGGCCTGGTAAACACTGGCGCCCCTCCTGCCCTCACTGGGCCTTTCCTCCTGGGAAAAGAGCGGGACTCTGCGTGGCGGGGGCGCTGTACATACCCGGTCTCTGCCCCCGGTCCCGAGGACCCGCATTCTGGACCTCCCCCAAGTCCATGTGAGACAGAGAATTAATTATTCAGAGAATTTAAATTAAAAATGATAAAATTTGGAATAAACTAGGCCCCAGCCTCTTCCTGGGAAGGGGGTGGCCGTTGCCACGGCGACGGTGGCGGGACCTTGAAAGGCTCCAGGGAGCGGGCGGTCAGGCGGGAAACGAGGAGGTTGGGGAGACAGGTTGTAATTAGCTCCCCGGAGGGAGGGGGAGAAGAAGCTGTATCCCGGAAACTCTCAGGGGCAGAGCTCTGGAAAAGAGGCGTGAACACTACCCGCTGCGCTGTTTGGACACGAGGCGCGGCAGCAGGAGGGGGATTCAATGACCTACAGCGGAGGAGGCCACCGGGAAAATAGGGAGTAGCCGGGCAGCTTCCGCCCGCCCGCCCGCCAGGAGGCGGTAATGCGAAACTTTCGGTCTCCTGGAAGTGACATCTACGCTGCCTGATGCGCTTGCGCGGCGGGAGGAAAGAGGAGCGCTTACGCGGTTGCTAAGGCAACCAGAAAACGGTGGTCTTGCTTAACCATCAGGAATTCAGTACTTTGGTTGGAGGAAGGGACAGTTTCGCTAGCGCACGCGCACTGGGCGCTCTAGAACCCGTCCTCTTCCCCTAACACTGAGAAGCCTCGCCGCACACCAACCTCTACGCAGGCGCAAGAGGCCATCTCGCGCCCCAACGCTTCCACCCTGCGCAGGCGCACATAGCCGCGCTGCCAACCTCCGCAGCGGCCGCGCGCACCCTTCATTCCGCTGGCTGCTTTTGTCTCGCGCAACCTTCTTAGGCCTTCCGCGAGATCGGTCCTTTTTCTCCACTCTTCCCACCGGGAGAATCAGGTGGGAGCCAGGACCCCCGCCCCTCTTCCCGTGTCCCGTCCCTTGACCCACCTCGTCTCCGTCCTCCCTCCCTTTTCGGTTCCCGACGCCGGAAGGAGCCGAAGCAGCGACGGAAAAAGCCGAAGGCTTCTCCGTGAGCGAGTCCTTCCCGAAGCTGGGGCGGAAGGAGCCGAAGTTGCGAGAGGGAAGGAGTGAGCGAGTGGAATCTCCGGACAGAGCCGAAGCTTGGATTCGAGCTTAATCTCTGGCTGGTCCCGACGGCGAGCTCCAGAAACCTTCGGGAAGTGCTTGAATCCCGGGACGGTTAGGCTTGTCGGAAGTAGCTGGTTTTTCGGGCAGGGCCGGTGGAATAGAAGCGGGGAACCCCTGAGGAGCGGCCAAAGACGGACAGTTTGAATCGTCGGAAGAAACAGAACCCTTGGCGGCGTTGCCGCGGGGCGCAGAGGAAGGCGAGGACCTACGGAAACACCCGAACGTTGAAGAGCTTGTTTCCGAAAAGTTACGACAACCTGGGAACCCGGCAAAGCCCTCGCTTCGGGTGTTTTCGGAATAAGCCAGTGCCACTGCGCCCGACTCCTTCCTCTGCGGTCCGGAAATAGCTGACGTGCTTCGGGACCAGGCTCTGGGGAAGGGGCACCTCGCGGGCGGGCGGGAGGGGAGAGGGGCGGAGCCGGGGCGGGGCGGGCGGCCCGTGCTCTATTAGACAGGGGGCGGTGGCGCGCCGGAGGCGGCCGGAAGTAGCCGAAGCGAGCGGCGGAAGTAGCCGAAGCGGCCGGAGCGGGCGGGCGGCAAGGCGAGGTGAGAGCTGCACAGGGCCCTACGCGGCCGCCTCAGCATGTCGGACTTCGACGAGTTCGAGCGGCAGCTCAACGAGAATAAACAAGGTGAGGACGCCGGGGACTCGGGGCGGCGAGCGGGGCGGCTCCTGGCTTTCCTCCGTGGCCCCCCGCCATTTTCCCCCTCGCTTCCCCTCCTCTCGGGGCCGCGCGGCCGCCCTCCCCCACCGTCTCGCGGCGCGCGCCTCGCTCACGTGACCGCCTGGCGTGCCTCTGCGCGCGGGAGGGGAGGGGGCGGCAGGCGCGGGCCGGCACGCATGCGCGCCGTGCTTCGTTCTGCTTCCCCACCTCCTTGGTCCTTGGCGGAGGCGGCGCGGCAGAAAGGGCCCGGTAGGGCCCGCTGCGTGTCCCCTCGCGAACTCTTATTATTAACCTGGGAAGAATATATCTACACATATATTTATGTATAGGCGTATATCGGGTCCCGCCATCCCTCTTTTTCTCCCGCTGCTTAGGCACTTCCGCTTCCGGCCGGGTCCGCGGCCCGGGTCTCCACGCCCCCTTTGTTCCAAAATGGCGGTTGCGAGCACCCCCCACTTCACGTGGGCGTGGGTACGGCTGTCGCGTGGCCGAGCCCTCCCGCGGCCGCCACGTGCGCCGTGTCCTGCGGACTCGCGCGCGCGGAGGCCCTTTTTGGTCCTGAGGGACCTTGGGTCACCGCATATGACGTGGGATCATTCATGAAAGGGGCGCTCAGTGTGTTCTTCGGGTGACCCTGCCCCGCGCGTACGTTCTGCATACACACGGGCGATGGCAGCAGCGGCGATGATGGCAATGGGGAGCCTGTCCCCCACTTTTCCGCCGCTAGAGACAAGCTCCACGTCTTGTCCGATCCCAAGCTTGGAGTCCTTAGACGCGAAAATTATCTCGACGTAGAGATGGGAAGACGGAGTCTGTGAAAGATTAGGGGCCCTGGTCCAGCTGGGTACCGTAGAGAAGGGTGGGCAGCAAGGGCTCCCCACAGGGGCCGTGCGGGTGCCCATCAGCTTAGAGACTCCGAGAATTTTGGGCTTGGGAGAGCCGTTAGACGTTTAAAAATTTACTCTTGTCTCGGTATTTTAGTTTGGGGGCGAAGAAACTTAGAACTAGGGAGGATGGGGAGGGCTTGAGGCCTCCATTGCCCGTGTGTTTGAAGGGCGTAATGAGGGGCGCCAGAGTTCTCTCTCGAACCCAGGTCGGAGTTGGGGACGCGGTGGCTGGATGAGGGGGCAGCGCCTGGTGGGGAGAAGGCCTGTTTGCCGAGTGCCCGGGCCATCTTTTTGTGCATGAGGTAGAGCTACCTGGGTTCACATAGCTGCTTTGTTGCTTACCTGTGTTACCTTAATATTTTTGTGTCTGTTTATTTTCATGTGGGAATTGGCCTGCCTTTTCTCATCAGGGGATTTCTGGAGTTGATAATGCTGGTAGTAACGAGAGTTACAGTTAGACCGAGTGCCTGCCAGTGCCAGGCACTGTGCTGAGCTCTTTGCACAGGTCTTCTAAGTGGACCCTGGCAACTGCCCCATGAGGCTGAAATGACTTTCTTCCTTTTGCAAAGGAGGAAACAGGCTCAGAAAGTTTAAAAACTTTCCCAGGCCTGGTCAGAAGCAGAGCTGAGATTAAAATGGGGTGATGTGGGCAAAGCATGTGCCCTATGGGGTGGCATACACCGGGTGCCTCTTAGGTAGTATTTTTTTTATTGTGAAATCACTCCTAGCATAGTAATGTCATGCTGAGGGGAATAGAGGCAGGTCTTAAGCTCACTCACTCCGAGGTGGTGGCACAGGTGAGGAAGGTGCTTTACAAACATCCTGCTGCCGAGTCTTCGCACCTTACACTGTGGGTGGGGGGTGGAAGTGACCCTCATTTGGAGGAGAGAAAACCGAGCTCTGAAGGGTTAGTTGCTGCTGGTTTCACCTGGTTGGTAAGCAGGAGAGGGGCCCTGCCGGGCTCTGGCTGGCTGTGGGGCCCACTCCACTGTGTCGGCTGCCTGCAGAGCTGGGTGAGCCCTTCCTGGAGGCTCTTGGCCACGTGCTGCCTCTGTACGCAGCCCTCAGTTCTCCCCCGTCCCCCGGGTTGGCGCTGTTCCCACAGTGTGGCAGGCCACGGCGTTTTGAACATGCGGTGCTCCGTCTGTGTTGAGGATTGGCGTGGGGCAGGGGGATGCCGCTTCAGGGGACGCTGCCTGCGGGTCACCCCTTAGGCGCTCTGTGGGTCTTTGTCTGCACGCCAGCCGCTCCTGACTCTGCCCCACCTAGTGCACCTGTATCTCCAGGGAATTGATTGCCCAGCCTGCGCCCGACACCCAGCAGGGAGCACTGCCTCCTGCGTGTTTGGGAGCCTCGGCGGGAGAGACCAGGGGGCGCCTGCTTGGCAGAGCCAGAGCTCCTTTGTGCTTGCCTGGCTGTCCATTTGACCCTCGCCTGGAGCTTCCCATCTTTATTTTTTCGCCTCCAAGGACGTAATCCCACTGTTGTTTGTTGTTAGTGGTTCCATCCAGACCCTGGAGTGTTCTGCCTGAGTTCTGGAGTGTGGCCTGCTGCTTAACCGACCTCGCTGACGTGGCAGAGTTCACATTCAGGCTTATGCACTTCCTTGCTTTTTGGCCTCTGGGCCAGACGCATGAGTGCCGCGTGCTTCAGTTGCTCTGTTCTGTGAGCTCCCAAAGCAGTAGTGAGGATTAAGTGCAAGTGAGCATTTCCCCAAAGCAGTAGTGAGGATTAAGTGCAAGTGAGATATTTAGCACAGCTTTTGGATTTACAAAGCATCCTGGTGTTTGCTTCTGTGTCTTTTTCCTGTCTTAGGTGCATATTTTTATGAGTTTTAGTGACTGGAGTTGAGGTGCATCTATAAAAAGTTTATGGTTACTGTAATTATTTCAGGAAAATAAAACAACAGTGTGGATGAGGCTGACGTTCACTTTGAGACCCTTTTCTTACTGCCTCTTGCGCCCACCTGTCCCCAGGAGCATGGTGAAGCGTATGAGCCCATGGGCAGGGGCCTGCTGGGTAGCTGAGGAATCAGTGTCCCTGAACCCAGGAACTCAGGTGGAGCGCTGTGCTCGAACTCCCTGCACTCCCAGCTCAGTCTGCACCTTCTCCGAGGCCGAGAAGTCTGTAGGGAGCAGAGGTTTCTGTGGCCTTGCTGGGAGGGCAGAGCCCTGTGCTGCCCCCTGGGCCTTTGGAGAAAGCAGCCTGGTCCCTTGAGCGCTATGGACTTGGCTTTGAGGCAGAATGGGGTGGTTTGGGCGTCACGTCTGCGTGGGGCAGAAGGAGGGACCTTGGGGAGGGCGTCCGGGTTGGGGCCTCACCCCGGGCCCGATGGTGGGGCTGTGGGTGCATCTGGTGATTGAGGACGTCTTTCCTGAGGGGCCGCAGGTCCCTTCAGGAAAACATCATTGGGTCTCTTGGTTCCC